AGTTATTCTAAAACTAAATGTAACACACACTTTAAAAAGTCTAATTTGCATAGATGGGAGAAGACTAGGAATGTGAAATCCACATTTTAGTGTGTAGCAAATGTTAGACTTCATGAACTTGAACATGTCAGTGAGTATCTCAGAGGCTCAGTTCAGCTTTTCTGTTCTCACAGGGCCAACAAGGAGGTTTTTTTTGGTTCTTTTTTTTTTTTTTTCTTATGGAAAACTCTTTAAATTGCTGTTACGAAGTACAGCATATATGAAAACTTGCTTTATTTTGTATGATCAACCACCCGACATGACAATCTATAGTTTCCTGTTTTCTCCTTCTCCTGTGTGATGTGATTAATGGGCAGCTCCAGTTCTCATCCGCATGCAGGCTGTAGCATGCGTGGTCTGTGCGGTCTGTATTTCCCCCATTTCTGCCAGACCCTTCTTATAGTCCTTTTACACTACTGTAAAGAACTACTGTACATACATACAATGTCTGTTTATAAATGCATTCTCACTTCTGGATAAACAATGCGAATTAGATTTTAAAAAATACTGTATTTGGAAGAATATATATATTTTTCTGCATTTTTCTTTCTTTTCCCCCAAATGAAGGTTAGAGGAAGAGCGTCCTGATAATGCCACTATATTTTCTGTATAGTCTAACTAGAAGAATTAACAAGCTGTAAATGTTTTCCAAAACTTAGAGTTTACAAAAAATAAAACAAAGCAAAAAAGGGCCATGAATGGTGTCTCTCAGTAATAATCTGTGAAGGGAGGTAGATAATCTGCTATAGAAATAATTAAAGTGAAAACCTGATTTACATTTTGTGTTCGCCTTCCAGAAAATTATATTGAAGAGGTCTTCAGTCTATTTCAATCTTTTTTATATTGCTATCCAATAAGAGTAGGAGAAAATACTGAGAGCTCTTACTGCTTTACATTGGACATATAGAAGTTTCAAAAGAAAGCAAAAGAAAATCCAGCCTTTTAGCTATTTGGAAAGTGGCCTAACAGCAAATGAACTAATAGACTTGGCACTGTCACCTTACAGCGCGGAAAGTGTTACATTTGGGACAGGGATGCGGGTGAGTCTTTGATATTACAACTGCAGGACAAAATCACTCGTGAGTTTATGCACTGGTAGCTAGTAATTAAAGTGCCTGGACTGTGCGAGTCATCATTTAGGCAGTAAGCTGCAGAGGCTTTGATGAGAGGCTTGTTATATACTGCAAATCACCTAAAATTGAAGATACAGAGAAATCACATTTTCTATTCACCCAGTCCTCCAGCAAACCCCTGCAGGGAAATCACACAGTACTAAATCTTGAGGTGTTATTATACGCATCGTCATTAAAAATACTGGAAAATGCTCTTATTAAGTGTAGCTGTAATACTGTGATTTGACAGATTTAGTGTTTTATTGATCAATTTCCATTACAAATATTATAAACCCGACGTGGCCTGCCGTCCTCAAAGATGCCTGGGGATAAAAAACCTACTTTCTTCTTTAAAAAAAAAAAAAAGATTAGAGCATTTAATTGTAACTGATGATCCGTGTCWGTAGCAATCCCGGGAGGGCTGACAGCTGCAGCTCCGGAAGAAGCGCAAATGCTCAGCGTGACCCTGATGGCTTTGCCATAAAATCTGTCTCTAAAAGGTATTGAAGTTTAAAGCAACACAGAGTTTTTCCAGTCAGATGGAGGCTCGGAGCAGGTGTGCTTGGGCTTTGTTTTGGGTTTCTAAATAGATCATGCTGAATAGAAGAACAGCTTTCTGGGTTGTTCATCTCCATATTTTACCTTTTACAGCAAGCTGCCTAGCAGTTGGTTCAGTAAATGGCCGTGCAGGATTTGCACGTTGCTGCAGCTCTGTGTTTTCCCTCTGTGCAGATGTCTGTGCTATATTCAGATGCCTGTTGCCTGTGAAGGTTTTGCTGTGCAGCTGTACAAGGGAAGGACCTCGTGCAGCGGTGCTTGCCGTGCTGTTCTCTGTGCTTCTGGTCCATCTCAACGCTTGTGTCATCGCTGGCCCCGCTGGAGTGCAGAGATAGAGGCTTGCCAAAAAGCAACAACAAAGCAATGGGTGTCGGACTGGTCTGCGGCAGGTTGTTTTTCTGAAATTTCACTCTTTGGCTAACAGCTCTGTAAGGCCGTGGGTGATTCCAGCACCGCACAAGTATTTTATTACGTTCTGACAATAGCGCTATTTTGAGCGGCCTTGAATAGCAGCATTATAAAACACAGCAAGTCACAAGAACCTTATCTGGGTAACGTTCCAGCTCGTATTTCTGCCGGTAGATCTGCCGCGTGGCTTGCCGTGGAGAAAATGGGCTGGTGGAGCTCTTAGCGGGAAACAGGCCCTCCTCTACCAGGCTGCAATACAGCAGAAATATTTACGTGCATGGAATGAACATTTAAACGTCTAAACATCAAAAATATTTTACTTYGAATAAACTCCTTGGAAAATTCTCAGTATTAGTATAGCTACACTGAATATTTGGACTTTTTGCTTAGATAATTTGACCTATGTCATGTGCTGAAGCACGTAAGACTTCTTACAACAAGAAATTACAATAGAAAGTATAACCAATAATACAGCCTTGCACTATCCAGATTATGGACTCAGCATTTGGATGACTGAAGAACACATCCGTAGATGAACTTTTTTCTTATTTCTTTTCCTTCTCTTTTACTCTTGTTAAAACGCCTTGTTGTATGTGGGACACTGCAGAGATTTTTTTAGCACAGATGAAATTGTCTTTTTTTAAAAGTTTGAATTGAAAATTGTACACATAAATCCACACAAAGGGAATTACCTTTGAAGTACAGAAATACAGAAAACATCTCTTTTTACAAATAAGGAAGAAATTTCTATTCATTCAGGCTAGGCAATAGTCTGTCGGATAAAAAATTTATTGTCAGATGGCAAATAACTCATGAACCAACTGTGTGGGGGGCTTTTTGTGTCCATCAATACATATCCTTCTATCTCTTTGTCTGGACTGATTGTGTTGTTACACCTTTTCTTCGGGTTGAACAATTTTTTTTTTGCCTTATTGCATCACCTCAATCACCAAAGGAGGAGATTGGAGAAGCAACAGGAAAAAATCAATTCCCACAGACTGTTTGCAGTCTCTTATGGCTCTGCAAAGGGCCAGTTGAACAAAGCAGTGACGGACTTGCCTTAGCCCTTCTCTAAACAAGGCACTGAGCGAGTTGCTTCCTAGGTTGCTGTGTGGTTAACTACACTCACAACTAGAAATTATAATTTATTTACAGCAGGATAAACTAATCTATGATGCTGGTTTGTTAGGATAGTTATCTGTGCAGGTATTGAACTATGGAGATAACTTGTGCTAGTTGAATTCAAGCCTTCATTTCTTGAAATGGAAGAATTTTTTTTCCAGTTCTTTTCAGGAAAATAATTTGTCATCAGTTGGGAAGGCTTAAGTTTCGTACTTAGGGAAAGAGGCAGCTGTCATAGTGGAAGTTTTGGAAAACTGCTGTATATCACAGTGGCAGCGACGGTTGAATTTCCTAGCAAAGCAAGAAATAGACGTTTGCAAAAAATAAAATGGTAAAGGGCATGGGAGGGTAGATTTGGTGAAAAAGAGAGAAATGGATACTACTAATTCAGTAAATAGGGAAGGTAGTACTCATGTTTATTGAATGAAGATTTTTAAGTGTGTCAGAAATTTGCTGTGTACTATATAAACTGGGAAAGACAGCTTTTAACTATGGAAGTGCACTGTTTATCCTATTTTGTTTTCCCAGAGATTTTCAAGATTCATGTAGGCAATAGCATTGCAAATTGTGTAGCCTCTGATGCTACTTTATTTGCACATGAATAACTATCAGGAAGATTGATCCTCTCTCTTAACTGTTTGGATTGGTTTGAGGATGGATAAGGAAACTCTGACTGGCAAAAATATTCAGTCCCTGAAGGCTCCTTATAGGATATTTATAATCCACCTTTGAACAGACAAGTAAAACTGCAGTTCCACATATTATTTCTGTTGAGGGGAAGGAGCCTGTTGTAAATTATCAGCAGTTCCGTTGACTTTGGTGGGCTAAGGATAACTCCCATCATTAAAGACCTGCCTGGGTGTTTTTATTGGCATTTAGTGTTTGCGCTCGGTATGGACTAATTAGCTTTAGAATTTGTAGTCTGTGGGAAAGATGTGCAGAAATTTCAAACTATAACTCATCAATTAAAAGACAAAATATTTCTTTTTTATCAATCTCAATGGGATACATGTGTCTCTGTCAGCACAATCTCCATCTGCTGTTGTTGTGCAAATGTGCCCCTATTTGTAGGTTTCCAGCACGCCAAGCAAACAGGGGTAAGGGGAAAAAAATTAACAAAAAATAAATAAAAAAAAAGAAACTTTCTAAGAGATTTGCCAGTGTGAATTCTTTACTTGGTATATACATAAACATATATATATGAACATTTAATGCTGAGGCATTAAATAAAAAAAAAGGGTATGACCAGTCATAATGTTTCCTTGTGATGTGGAATAATAAATTCCAGTTTTGGACTCTCTTTAAAGCAGCACAGCAAAAACAGGTGGGAATCGGCTCATTTCAGCATGCCTTTTCTCATTTCCTCTCTTAGGACAGTACCTGGAGCAATGAGACAGCTCAAACTGTACAATTGATTACATGGAGAGACTTGGGAGAATTACACGTTGGCCTTAGCTGTCACTAAGCTGTACTGCTCTAGAATAAATTTCTCTTGGGAAGAGGGAGCCTAAGGAGCCCCATGTTCTGAAAGCCCCTCTGATGGGTGCATGGCAGGTCCATCCCTTGGAGGTTTTAYGCTGGAGCAAAGAGGAGGGGAAGCAGGAGCGGGAGCGGGGCCTGGACGCCGCGAGCCCGCGGGCACCCCGGCTGCTCTCGCCTCTGTGGGTGTTCCTCTCGGGTTCTCTTAATAACCAGCTGCACTGGCAACGCGCAAGGACTGGTTGTTTTTTATAAGCCACTTTTTTGTTTCTTTTAAACTAGAAAGATGAGAACTACAGAAGCCTACCACGAGATACTAGTAGCTGGTCTAACCAGTTTCAGAGAGACAATGCTCGCTCATCGTTAAGTGCCAGTCATCCCATGGTGGACAAGTGGCTGGAGAGGCAAGAACAGGTAATATATATGCATATATATATATTACTTTATCAGTCTAATCTTTATGCTAGCCCAGAATATTGCAAAGAAATATATTCTTGTGTGATAGTGGTTCTTCAAGCGTGATATAAACACCACAGTTATACAGATTAAATTTGTAATGGGATCATTGCGCTTCCAAAAGCTGCATTAGACTGAAAATGGGCAGCTGCAAATGGTTCCGCTTTTGAATCACATGTGCATTTCTATCATATGTGAAGTGCTGCTGTTTTTTGCAACTGATATCAACAGGGTTGTTTTATGTAGAGAGTGTTATCCTGATAAACAATTTACTGTTGAAAAGCTGGTAATATAGCAATAGAGTAGCCATGTGTAGACTGATTTTGGTGTTGCACTTTCAAATGCTTTTTACTCTTTATATATTAATTATGTACTTGAAGAGATTGCTATCATGCTTATTWCTTCTATATTACTTTTAATCGTGGAATTTTTTGAGACATTAAATAATTCTAGCTTATGTTTTCTGTCTTCATTARTATTCTGGGAGTCATGAGGAGTTAAAGGTCTAAAATTAAGATTATTTAGCAATCATTTCATTTATTCATTTGCCTCACATTTTTCAAGAAGTTTCTTTAAATGTGTAAGGAAAATGCATCTTTACTATGAAGACTACAAATAGATAGAATAGCGCCTATGCAGGATTACAGCCCTGCTTTTCTTCTTCATACAACGTGACATGAAAATGTTGACATATTGCATTGAACATAAATATGTAAATTTTGTATTTTACAGCAGTAATGTATAAAAACTTAATTTGCTTTATAAAGAGAAGATTTGAAGTGAGATTTARCATTTGACACAACACGAGCTTTTCACACTCTGCCTGGTGGCTGCAGGGGATGTTTTTTACAATCCAGAACTGGGCAGATATTTTATAACTACTCTCTGTCATGCACAAAAGTTACATTAGTATTCGAAGTCCATAATCACCAATTCCAAAATATTCAATCAYTATATTCCAAATATGTTTTATGCAGCCGTCTTAATTAGACAGGAACGTAAAAAATATCCCATTCTATAAAAAAATCAAAACCAAATGTGAGCTATTAACTATTTTATTTTATAATTGGCTGCAGATTTATTTCAGTTCGTGTTCTTGATAGCTGTGTATGTTCCTCTGCACATTTAATGTTAGCAACTGCGGCGGTAATTCCATTGCTGCTTTCCATGGGAGGGGGGTAGAATTAGTATAGATGCATTTAGCTGCTCTCTCTGTATCCATATGCATTCAAATGTAAAGTTGGTCCCCAGACTAGAAGCCATCTCCTGTAATAGTTTTATTTGTTTGATTTTTTTGAGGCATATTTTCATACATCATTAGATTTTCACTGMGGTAATTAATGAAACTGCTGTTTCAGCAAAAGAAGTTGGAAAAGGAATGTTAATTGTGATCTTAGGAAATGTTGGCTATGTGAATATTTTAATATATGAATATCCATTTTCAAGGAAGTATTAAGTTTTGTGGTGATTTTGGTCTCTAAACAACCTAACTAGCTGTGTTTATTTATCAGTTAGGTAAATAATTRGGCACTAGTGGTAGTCTCAGAGTGTATTTGTTGCTTTAGTTACGAGATTGGCATCTGAGCTTGCAAATTTCTGTGCTGGGCCAGGCAAGTTTGGGGGGATTTTGTTCTGCTCTGTTTTTCATTGTRTTTGAGAGACGGCGTGTGCATTCATTGATTCATTTAATTTGTTAATGAGTCTGCATGTGCTTGGAAGACCAGATCCTTTTGAGGTTTCCTATCAGCAGGACAATTAATTAGCGTGCGGCCTGTTCGCAGGGTGTGAGGAGCAGCGGGGAGGCCGCGTGAGGCGGGGAGGGCGCGCGGGGCGGCCGAGGGCAGGGCTGGCCGGGCCTGCGGAGCCAGGCTGGGAGCCGTGGCAGGCAGCCATATTGGGGCTTCATCTGGGGGCTTTTCCCTCTGACATCGTTTTCAGCGTTACCTGGGGGCCTTTTGTTCCTCGCTGGATAAGCCTCTCTCTTCTGTTGTTGCCTTTTGTTTTTCCTTTTTAGTTCAGCAGAGTTTCCCAGAGTCACAGCACGGCTGAGGTTGGAAGGGACCTCTAGGGATCACCTAGTCCAAGCCCCTGCTCAAGCAGGACTCTGCAACGCTTGATAAAAAGCAAGCTAGAAATCTCAGAACATCATGTTTTGTTCTTATATAATGACAAAGGGCAAGGCAACAGGGTCTATGCTTATATAGTTATAGTATTTCTTACCTCTATTGTTATGATACTATATATGATACGTGGTGGTTTTCCATATCTTCTGTATAACTGGCTCTTTACTGAAGCGCTGTGCTGAAAACCATAGAAATACCCTCAGTAGAAATGAGTAACCTGAACAGACTTGCAAAAATGGGGGCTAATGAGATTGCAGAGTAGGGTAGAAATCCTGCATAGTCAAGTCGTGTAGCAACTTCCAGACATATTCCTGCATACCCAGCAGGACCGTGCTGAGGAGCTGGAATGCGCTGTGCCCCCTGCCAGTATGTGCATTAAGAGCAGCAGACAGTAGGTCTGGCATGAGATGTGAGGCACTGGCCATGCCAGGAAACCACCAGGGCAGAATTGATGAYTGACATCGGGGATAATAGTCCTGGTCTAATCAGGCCTTATGGTTCTGTGGAAAGGACGGTAGTTTTGCTATGGAAAACCCTGGATGTCCTGCAGGCYCCGAGGCATGCCGTTGGATGGAGGCTTTCTGGAGATGTTCCTTTCCAAGCTTGCTGTGCAAATTACATCCTTTGGACTATATTTCTTTCCACAATGATCTTTGTCAGTGCTCAGCACGGCGGAGCGCTCGCGGGGGCTGTGCTCTGAGGCCTGCAGGTGCCACGTGCCAAAGCAGCACGGCTGCTTTCGTGTGGCCCCCGTCTCCTTTCCCGTGGGCAGAGCCATCACGCAGGCTGCAGTCACGGCAGCACCACAGCTGGTTCCGCCACGGAAACATCCCCTATTTCTGGGAAGTCATTACAGGCTGCTAGAGCAGGGGCTAATAAGGGCACAGAGTTAGAGAGATCCTAGCAGTTGTTAAAGGAATTGCTATCCTCTCCACTTGTCAAGGGTTTAAGGCCTTAAAAGGGAGAAAGGCAGGAAGCCTGTGCAAATTTCTGGGAGTAATTGGTTTCACTCCTGTCTGTTGTGCTGTGCTCTGTTAAATTGGAGGGCTTGGCTAAATTAGAGTGATGCATCAAAGGAATGGAAAAGATTAATTCTGCCTTCTGAGTCCTTAAAGATATTACGGTTCTTTATGCTGGTTGCGCATTTCTACCTATGGCTTGCTCGCAGTTTAGTTCCTTTGGTTATTCACAGGGCCGTGATCAGGGTGTCAGAAAGTTTGGGTATTTTTTAAAGCCCGCAAAGTAAGTTATGCGAAGTGTTTCTAGCAAAGATCCGTATTTTGCCATTATAAAACAAAATTGCAAATAGGGTTTTAGGATGCCTTTAGAAACGTAGAAGACTTTTATCCTTGCTGTTTTACTCAATTATTTCAGTAGTTCTCTCTTGGAGATCAGCTATTCCTAGGAGCAAAATTTGCAATCTTTAATTTTGTTCTGAAATCCTTTAAAAAGGATTTTTTTTTGTCAGCCTCCCTGTGCTGCAGTGCTTTCTGTTCCTCCCCAGCACCCCAGCTTTGAGGAATTACTTGAAAAATCTTGCATTTCTCCCCAAATTTATTCAGAGACACGGCAAGAACACTTTTATTTGGGAAATCTTTTCCCTCACTTCACCTCAAGAGTTGCCCGGGGTCTGATCAAATCTGAGATCACACTGCTTGAGAGCAGGGTGACATGAAAAGGCGGTGAATGAAAGAGTTAAACTTTTCACCAATTTGTTAACTTTCAGCACACAGAAGGCTTCTCTGGGGTGGTCATTTTGGTTTCATTAGTCAAATATTGAAACTGRCAGCAATCAGAAAACCTGGAGTTGAAACAGAATATCCTTGGCTCTGCTGGAGGGGCCTCTTTCCGCAGCCGGAGTAGGAGCACCCTGCTGATCCATGCGCTGGGAAAGGGGCGAGAGCAGCGGGAAGGGGGGATTCTGCCTTGCCCCTGCTCAGGGTAGGAGCAGCTGATAAGATCGGCAGCAATAAAGATATAGGGTCCATTGAAACTACATGTAAATATATGTATATGCATATAAATAAATTCTGCATTTGTCACAAATAAAAGCAAGATCATTTATTTTTCAGAAGGCTGAGCAGCTTGTGCGCTACGGCACCGATCACCCTTTTGATCGGTTTAATAAATAAGAAAAGTTTAATTTTAGGAGATGAACAAAATGTCATGGTTATTACTGAAGAATGTGTCTGACTCCTAACATCCCATGAGCTTTTCTAGCATCTAGCAAAAGTCAGCAATGAAAACAGCTCAACTGTATGTCGAAATGGGAAGAGAAGTTGGTTGCTACTGCTGTCTTTGTGAGCAGAAATTCACTGTGCAGAATATTGTTTTTACCATATTGCCTCCTTCCTTCTTCCTGTTAGTTATTGTTTGTGATATCTGTCCAGGGTGAAATAAAATCCTAATCTTGTGTGGATTTTTTCTATTTCTTTTTTTCAGTCATGAGGTCAGATGTGCCAATAGCACTACGGACTTATTTCTCCAAGCATATGGTACTTTCCTTCAGCTTTTATTTTCCATACACTATGGCCTACTTTTAATATGATTTAATATACCATTTTAAAACATTCTGATGCACTGAATTTGTGCATTTCAGAGTCAGGGTGGGTTAGTGGGGGGCCTGGACAGAGCTTTAAAATCTGTGAGGTAAATTTGGTGAATTTAAATCACTGATTTCCCATGGTTTCTCGTATTCACTTCAGCCATGTGGTCAAATTTTTCCTTTAGCAAAAAAAGCTTGCATCAATTTTATGCCTTAATGTTAAAGTATAGCGGGTAGAAATATAGCTCATGTATTTGAGCTCCTTTTTTTATTTTCTGAATGGATATAAA